ACATGCACCCCAATGTTTACAGCAGCAATGTCCACAATAGCCAAACTATGGAAAGAGTCAAGATGTCCATCAACAGATGCATGGATAAAAAAGATATGGTGTACACACACACACACACACACACACACACACACACACACACACACAATGGAATATTATGCAGCCATCAAAAAAACCCTGAAATTTTGCCTTTTGCAACGATGCAGATAGAACTAGAGGGTATCATGCTAAGCAAAATAAGTCAATCAGAGAAAGACAAGCAGCATCATATGATCTCACTGATATGAGGAATTCTTAATCTCAGGAAACAAACTGATGGTTGCTAGAGTGGTGGGGGGTGGGAGGGATGGGGTGGCTGGGTGATGGACATTGGGTAGGGTATGCGCCATGGTGAGCGCTGTGAATTGTGCAAGACTGATGAATCACAAACCTGCACCTCTGAAACAAATAATACATTATATGTTAAAAAAAAAAAGAGAAGATAGTAGGAAGGGAAAAATGAAGGGGGAGAATTGGAGGGGGAGACAAACTGTGAGAGACTATGGACTCTGAGAAAGAAAGTGAGGGTTTTAGAGGGGAGGGGGTTGGGGGGATGGGCTAGCCTGATGATGGGTATTAAGGAGGGCACGTATTGAATGGAGCACTGGGTGTTATATGAAAACAATGAATCATGGAACACTACATCAAAAACTAATGATGTAATGTATGGTGACTAACATAATAAAATAAGATTAAAAAAAAGAAGAAAAAATCTCAAATAAACAACTTAACCTTACACCTAAAAGAGCTAGAAAAAGAAGAACAAACAAAACCTCAAACCATCAAAAGGACAGAACTAATATATTAGAGTAGAAATAAATGATATAGAAACTAAAAAAGAAAACAATAGAACAGATCAGTGAAACCAGGAGCCAGTTCTTTGAAAAGATCAACAAAATTGATAAACCTATAGCAAGAGTCATTTAAAAAAAGAGAGAGAACTCAAGCAAAATTACTAATGAAAGAGGAGAAATAACAACCAACAACACAAAAATATAAACAATTGCAACATAGGGGTGCCTGGGTGGCTCAGTCGTTAAGCGTCTGCCTTCGGCTCAGATCATGATCCCGGGGTCCTGGGATAGAGCCCCACATCGGTCTCCCTGCTCAGCGTGAAGCCTGCTTCTCCCTCTCCCTCACTTGTGTTTCCTCTCTCGCTGTGTCTCTCTCTGTCAAATAAATAAATAAAATCTTTAAAAAAATGCAACATAATATGAAAACCTATATGCCAACAAATTGGACAACTTTGAAGAAATGGATAAATTCCTAGAAACATATAAACTACCAAAAGTAAAGCAGGAATAGAAAATTTAAACAGAAAGATTGAATCACTAATCAAAAATGCCCAAAAAACAAAAGTCCAGGACCAGACAGCTTCACAGGAGAATTCTACCAAATATTTAAAGAAGAGTTAATACCCATTCTTCTCAAATTATTCCAAAACATAAAAAAGGAAGGAAAACTTCCAAACTCATTCTATGAGGCAAGCATTACCAGAAACCAGATAAAGACACCACAAAAAAAAGAGACTACAGGCCAATATTTCTGACAAACATAGATGCAAAATTCGTCAACAACATACTAGCAAAACAAATCCAACAATACATTTCAAAAAATCATTCACCACAATCAAGTGGGATTTATTCCTAGGTTGCAAGGGTGGTTCAATATTCGCAAATCAATCAACCTGATACATCACAACAATAAGAGAAAGGATAAGACCATTATGATCATTTCAAAGGTGCAGAAAAGCATTTGACAAAACACAGTATCATTCATGATAAAAACCTTCAACAAAGTCGGTTTATAGGGAACATAACTCAACATAATAAAGGCCATCTATGAAAAACCCAAGGCTAACATCATACTTAATGGGGAAAAACTGAGAGCTTTTCCCCTAAGGTTAGGAACAAGACAAGGATGTCCACTCTCACCATGGTCATTTAACATAGTACTGGACGTCCTACCCACAGCAATCAAACAAAAAGAAATAAAAGGCATCCAAACTGGTAAGGAAGAAGTAAAACTTTCACTATTTGCAAATGACAAGATACTATATATAGAAAACCATAAAGACTCCACCAAAAAATCTGCTAGAACTGATAAATGAATTCAGTAAAGTCACAGGATATAAAATCAATGTACAGAAATCTGTTCCATTTCTATACAGCAAAAACAAAGCAGCAGAAAGAGAAATTAAGAAAACAATCCAATCTACAATTGCACCCAAAATAATAAGATACCTAGAAATAAACCTAATCAAAGAGGTAAAGGATCTGTACTCTGAAAACTAAAAAACACTGATGAAAGAAATTGGAGATGACACAAAGAAATGGAAAGACATTCTATGCCCATGGATTGGAAGAACAAATATTGTTAAAATGTCTATATTACCCCAAGCAATGTACACATTTCATGCACTCCCTATCAAAATACCAACAGCATTTTTCACAGAACTAGAACAAATAATCTAAAATTTGTATTGAACCACAAAAGATCCCAAATAGCCAAAGCAATCTTGAAATAGAAAAGCAAAGCTGGAGGCATCACAATTCCAGACCTCAAACTATATTACAAAGCTATACTAATCAAGACAGTACGGTACTGGGGAGCACCGAGCCAGCTCCATCAGTACAGTGTGGGACTCTTTTGATCTCAGGGTCATGAGTTCAAGCCCCATGTTGGGCATGGACCCTACTTAAAAAAAAAAAGTATGGTACTGGCACAAAAATAGATACATACGTAGATCAAAGGAACAGAACAGAAAACCCAGAAATAAATTCACAGTTACATGGTCAATTAATCTTCAAAAAAGCAGGAAAGAATATCCAGTGGGAAAAAGACAGTCTCTTCAACAAATGGTGTTGGGAAAACTGGACAGCAACATCCAAAAAAATGAAACTGGACCACTTTCTTACACCATACACAAAAAAATAAATTTAAAATGGATTAAAGACCTAAATGTGAGACCTGAAACTATAAAAATCCTAGAAGAGAACATAGGCAGTAACTTCTTTGACATCGGCTATAGCAACTTCTTTCTAGACATGTCTCCTGAGGCAAGGGAAACAAAAGTAAAAATAAACTATCAGGACTACATCAAAATAAAAAGCTTCTGCACAGTGAAGGAAACAATCAACAAAACTAAAAGGCAACCAATGGAATGGGAGAAGATATTTGCAGATGACATCTCTGATAAAGGGTTAGTGTCCAAAATATATAGAGAATATATAAAACTCAAGACCCAGAAAACAAGTAATCCAATTAAAAAATGGGCAGAAGACATGAATAGACATTTCTCCAAAGAAGATATCCACATGGCCAACACACACATGAAAAGATGCTCAACATCACTCATCATCAAGGAAATGCAAATCAAAACTAAAATGAGGTGGTGCCTGGGTGGCTCAGTCAGTTAAGCATCTGCCTTCGGCTCAGGTCATGACCCCAGGGTCCTGGGATCCAGCCCCGCATCGGGCTCCCCCTGCTCGGCGGGGAGCCTGCTTCTCTCTCTGTCTGCTGCTGCCCCTGCTTGTGCTCTTTCTCTCTCTCTCTCTGTCAAATGAATAGATAAAGTCTTTGAGAAAAAACTACAATGAGATATCACCTCACACCTGTCACGATGCATGAAATCAAAAACAGAAGAAACAAGTATTGGTGAGGATGTGGAGGAAAGGGAACCCTCCTGCACTGTTGATGGGAGTGCAAACTGTGGAAAACAGTATGGAGGCTCTGCAAAAAAATTAAAAATAGAGCTACCCTACAATCTAGGGATCACACTACCGGGTATTTCCCCCCAAAAATACAAAAACAGAGGTGCCTGGCTGGCTCAGTCAGTAGATCATGCGACTCTTGATCTCAGGGTCATGAGTTCAAGCCCCACGTTGGGTGTGGAGTCTACTTAAAAAGAAAAAAAAAAAAAACCTCACTAATTCAAAGGAATACATGTATCCCCTATGTTTACTGCAACACTATTTATAATAACCAAACTATGGCAGCAGCCCAAGTGTCCATCGATATATGAATGGATAATGAAGATGTGATATACAGACACATATACAATGGATATTATTCAGCAATAAAAAGGAATGAAATCTTGCCATTTGCAACATGGATACAGCTAGAGAGTATAACGCTGAGCAAAATAAGTCAGAGAAAGACATACACCATATGATCTCATTGATATGTGGAGTTTAAGAAACAAAACAAAAGAGGGGCATCTGGGTGGCTCAGATGGTTAAGGATCTGCCTTCAGCTCAGGTCATGATCTCCAGGTCCTGGGACTGACCCCCACATTGGGCTCCCAGCTCACTGGGGAGTCTGCTTCTCCCTCTCCCTCTTCTTGTGCTCTCTCTGTCTCTCTCTCACAAATGAATAAATAAAATCTTAAAAAAAAGAAATAAAACAAATGAGCAAAGAAAGAAAAAAGTGAAAGAAACAAACCAAGAAATACACTTGTAAGTATAAAGAACAATCTGATGGTTACCAGAGGGGAGGTGCAAGGGGGGTGGAGGACATTGGGGATGGAGATTAAAGAGTACCCTTATCAGATGAAAAAAAAATAAAATGAAATGATAAAAAAGATAAGTCTTACATATGTGGAATCTCACTCATATGTGGAATCTAAAAAGCAAATGAATAGGTATGAAATTAATAAAGTTTAGCTTGTAAAAACAAGGAAAGAAACACTTGATAACTATCATAGTAACAAACGATTCAGGCAACAGACCTGAGTGCATCAGTCTGCACCAAATCCCACAGAAGTCACTGAGTCACCATGGTAAACACACTGGCCAAGGAAAGCTAGGAAAAAACAAACAGCAACCACCCTGATTTGGTTCCTAACATGTGCTAGGAACTGAGCAGGACTGACATACACACAGTAATTCACCCCTTAAGTATTCCTGACAATATATTCCTGGCAGCTTTAGCGATATATACATACGTGCACACATACGTACCCACATTCATATAAGCTTCTTCCTCTTCTCTCCCCAACTCAAGATCCCAGTAATTCATTATAGTGCAATAGCTGGGGAGTAAAAAAAGAAAAACACTACAATTCAATGGATTCAATCCTAAACACACATATAAACTTGAAAACTACTAAACTATTTTAGTGATGGATTTTTTTTTTTTCAGATGAACTGTAGACTTGTCTCTGGAACATTTTTCTCCCTAGTTTCGATACATTGCCAATAACCTCTAAAAGCTGATATAGAAATATAAACAAATGCATGTTATGCATCAAGTACTTTTTCCATTGTAGAGTAAATAGCCTGAACTTTCAACCAAAAAGATTCCTCAATGGCTATTTTTTGACATTTTGGCTGCTGACAATTTAGTGAAAATATATGTGTAAATTGCAATTAAAAAATACTGTCATTCATGATAGGACCAAAAAGTATAAAATACTTAGGAATAATCTCTCCACATATGTGTAAGGTAGGTACACTGAACACTACAAAACATTGCTGACAGAAATTAAAGATCTAACTAAATGGAGAGACATACCATCTTCATGTGTCAGAACACTAGTATTGTTAAGATGTCTGTTCTCCTCAAACTGATCTATAGATTCAGTGTAATCCTAATAGAAATCCTAGTACAGATTTTGTTTTTTAAGAAACTGAGAGGCTGGGCGCCTGGGTGGCTCAGTTGGTTAAGCGACTGCCTTCGGCTCAGGTCATGATCCTGGAGTCCCAGGATCGAGTCCCGCATCGGGCTCCCTACTCAGCAGGGAGTCTGCTTCTCCCTCTGACCCTCCCCCCTCTCATGTGCTCTCTCTCTCTCAAGTAAATAAATAAAATCTTTAAAAAAAAAAAAACCCGAGAGGCTGATTCTAAAATTCATATGGAAATGCAAAGGATCTAGATTATAAAAACAACTTTGAAAAAGAACAAATTTGTGCCATTTACAACAACATGGATGGACCCAGAGGGTATTACGCTAAGTGAAATAAGTCAGACTAAGACTGACAAATACCGTATGATTTCACTCATATGTGGAATCTAAAAAGCAAATGAATAAACAAAAAGCAGAATCAGACCTATAAATACAGAGAACAAACTGACGATTGCCAGAGGGGAGGGGGCTGGGGGATGGACAAAATGGGTGAAGCAGAATGGGAGATACGGGCTTCCAGCTATGGAATGAATAAGTCACAGGCATAAAAGGCACAGCACAGGAAATATAGCCAATGGCTTTGTAATAGTGTTGTATGGTGACAGATGGTAGCTACGCTTGTGATGAACACAGAATAATGTATAAACTTCTTGAACCACTATGTTGTACACCTGAAACTAAAGTAACACTGTATGTCAATTTCTCAAAAAAATTCTTTTAGAAAAGAACGAAGTTGGAGGATCAAAACTACCTGATTTCAAGAGTTATGATAACCTTCAGTAATCAAAACAGTGTGGTATTGGCATCAAGGGAACAGGATAGAGTCCGGAGTTCACACCTATATGAACAACTGATTTTTGACGAAATTGCAAAGGCAATTTAGTGGAGAAAGGATAGTCTTTTCAACAAATGGAGCTGAGACATATGAGTATCCATACGCACAGTGATCCATGTATCATACCATATACAAAAGTCAACTCAAAATGGATCATAGACCTAAATATAAAACCTAAAACTTCTAAAAGAAAACAAAAGAGAAAATCCTTGTGACCTTGGGTTAGGTGAAGATTTCATAGATGCAAAATCAAAACTATAATTAATAAATGAACAAATCAATAAACTGGACTTCCTCAAAGTTAAAAATTTCTGCTCTTCCAAAAACACTGTTGAGAGAATTAAAAGACAAGCCACTGACTGGGAGAAAATATTTGTAAATCAGAACTCTGATAAAGGACTTGTATCCAGAATACAGAACATCTCACAAAGGTCAATAACAAGAAAACAGTTACTCTAACAAACAAATGGGCAAAAATTTGAATAGACACTCCATTAAAAAAGATACATAAATGTTAAATAAGCACATGAAAAGATGCTAAACACCTTTTCTCAGATACTCAAATTCATTAGGGAAATGTAAATAAAACCTACAAGATACTACTATACCCCTCTAAGAATAGCCAACATTAAAAAAACTGACCATACCAAGTCCTGGCAGGGTTGTGGAGGATGGAACTCTCATACACTGCTAGTGGCAATTAAAAATGGTGCCAACACTTTGGAAAACAGTTTGGCAGTTTCTTAAAATGTCAATCTTACAACTACTCTATGTCCCAGCCATTGCACTCTTAAGTATTTACCCTAGAGAAAGAGAACATATGTCCAACTGAAGACTCATATACAAATATTCATAGCAGCTTTATTTATAAGAGCCCCAAATTGGAAACAACCCAAATATCCACGACCAGGTGAATGGATAGAACAATTGTGGTATATCCATATAATGGAATATTAGTCAATCATAAAAAAAGAAGGAACTATTCATACACGCAACAAATGGATAAATCTCGAAATAATTAGGTTGCAGGAAACAAGACACAAAAAATACACACTGTATATTCCATTCACATAAAATTGTAAGAAAAGAAAACTAACCCATACTGACAGAAGATCAGTAGTTGCCTGAGAACGGGATGGGGTGATGTGGAAAGAAAAAGGCTGGAGAGAGGTAGATGGGGGCATTACCAAGGGGCACAAAGAATGTTTTTTAAGGTGATGGGTATGTTCATTAGATTGACTATAGTATTGGGAGTCACAGGTGCATACATATATCAAAACTTATCAAAGCATATACTTTAAATATGCAGTGTATTATATGTCAGTCATATATCAATAAAGTATTTTACATATATTTATATATTCATAATTCTCTAATGCAATTAAATAAATCAGGGGAAATATTCCCACAATTGTGTTCTTGTAGCATTAGCAGATCCATACTATGTCTCATCAAATTGGTCCATGCTACATATAACCAAAATAGAAATAATCATTTCTAATGACATATATCCAAATATTTAGGGAAAGGTGATATCTGTTTCCTTCTAAAGTATGGAAATAAAAATATTCTATTCTAGGAAAATAATCATAATGATATTTAAGAGTATCTGGTTATTTTAGGGAATGTAGCTGAGTATCATTATAAGTGGGAAAAGTCTGGAGTAATAATTATCTTTTTTATATTAAGTTCTAGGGGCACCTGGGTGGCTCAGTCGGTTGAGTGTCTGACTCTTGGTTTCAGCTGTGGTCCTGGTCTCGGGGTCTTGGGATCAAGCCCCACGTTGGGCTCTGCCCTCAGTGAGGAGTCTGCTTGTCCCTCTCCCTCTGCCACTCCCCTTGCTCTCTCTCTCTCTCTGGAACAAGTGGATAAAGATCTTTAAAATAATAATAACAATAACAACAACAATAATAATTTCTTGTCACTGATATCTTTAACTAACACTTGGAAATTTTCTGGCTTTTTAAAAAATTTCATTATATACTAGGAAAAAATCATGGGCACCAGAGAAGAATCTGTTACAATGTCATATTACTAGGAAGATCTAATAACTGCACATTTCCACACCCATCTGAAAGACATGGGAATTGCTGATTATTATTTATATGGTGAGAACAATTCAGGTATATTTATTGCAACTGTATGTTAAAGACCAAGTAAGTTCCTTCCTAAACTGGATGATTCATTGCTTTTCAGGAAAAAAAGAAGTGTCTCTAAGATGGGCCTCAAGGGCTACTACACAGGCTATAGCTGCTGATGAAATAAAATTCCACCTGCTAAACCTCTTCTCCCGTGATGAGATCAAAGCAGCTTCTCTACTTGTAGGCTAGTTTGTGAACCTCACAGGAGCTTTTCCACAACATGCTTTTGTTCAGATCTATGCACTCACTTCAGCCAGGTACCATATCCCACCAGGGATGTAAGGTGATGGGCTCTCCTGAAGACTGCTGGAGTAGAAGCCATCCAGACACAGATCCTCAGAACCTGCCTCCTTCAGGCACATGATAGGAGCTCGGGCACCACCATGAAGAGCTATACAGGGAGAGACAGAATCAGTAATCACTGTGTTTTACTGGAGTAACTATGTGCCTAATACAACACTAGGTCCCCTTTCGCCAAAAGCAAAACACCTTCACTCTTCAGACCACCACCACTAGCTGCCTGTGATCACCCTTCAATGGAGTAAGTCTGGGGATATGAGCAACCATATTAGCAATAAAGACATAAGATGGTAACACCTGGTGTTGGATGAATGGAGGGGAAATAGACTCTCACATACAGTATTATGTCAAATGGGCATATCTGTTGTCTAAGGCCCATGTTATGACAGCTGAGTAACTTGAAAGGCCTTTGATATGGGAAGTCCCATTTCCCCCAACCAGAGAGTTTCAGGTGAGAGTTTAGAAAAGGATTCCAAGGTGATTCTGACCTGTGTCCAGGTTCAGGGGCCCTATCTGAGGGGGTAGATAAAGGAGCTACCTGAGTTATTAGATCTGGGGGGTACAGACAGCTAATATTTATGTAGCATTTAGTTAAGCAGGGCCTAGGGATAGGTTCTTCATGTTGTTGACTAGATTCAGTTCTTCACCACAAACTTACTATGAGGTGTTGCTATCCTCCCTTCGTGGATGCTTACAACTCCAAGCATGTGTTCCTAACCAGAGACAGATGGCAAAAGAGATAAAAGTTCAGGTTCCCGCTCAGCCTCCACTGACATGGGGGAGGTGGGTATCCATGGGAGTGGAAGGGAACGGGTGCCTTGTTACTGCTTGGTAGAAGTAGGATTTCATGCCCCACCAGCCCTCCGTTGACACCACCCTGGCAGGTGGGGAAGACACTTCCTTACTGCCTTCCATGTGGTCTCCCCTGATGCTGTGGAGGGGAGGAGGCCTCCTCCTCATTGGATGGTCATGAAACTTCCAAGAGAAGAAAAGAAGGTACCTCATGACGACTGAGTGTGGGTGGAAGGTAGGCTCCCGCATGATCTCCACTGACACCATGAGGAGGGATGCTCATTCTCCCCACGTTGGGATGAAAGTCACTGTTCTACATGCAGTTCTTCTCTCACATACCCCAAGGCTAAGGATGGGTGCCTAATTACAATCATGTAAGCATGGAATCCATGCTCCCCACTCAGCCTTTGCTGGTATGGTGGAAGTAGAGCTATGCTTCAATTCTATGGTGTAAGGGCAGTTGTTATCTAAAAACTTTCTTTCTTGCTAGGTTTCCCCTTTTCTGGTTCTTTGTCCAGAGAAAAGATTTTCTTGGGGCTCTTCTTGTCTTTTCCTGTTGGCAGTTTTTTGGTTCCCTACTCCTCCAGCACCCAGTCTGGAGTATATGGTGTATCTGGTATATATGAGGCAAAATACAACCAAGAGAATTCACTGTGTGTCCTTACTTGGGTCCCAAAGTCCCAAGTCAGTCTGCCTTTTTCCTCTCCACCTTTCAGAGTCTTATATTTGTTGCCCATATAATATCCAGAGATTTCAGCTGCACCTAGCAGGAGTAACAGGGAGAAGTGTATCTACTCCCTCTGGTCCCCGAAAGAGAAGTCCTTTGACTTTTAATACAAGTAAAACAGTTTTACATTTGCGTTCCCCCTTTCCTAGATAAAAAGCACCATGCTATTTACATCTTTATATACATTGACTTTTTCTCTTAACATTATATTCTAGAGATCCTCCACAGCCTTATGTGGAGATTTTCATTAGTCTTCTTTACACCATACTTAGTGTATACTTTGTGTGACTGTGTGATAGTTTATTCATTCATTACACAATTCAAAAATATTGAAGTTGTTCCCATTCTTTTGCTATTTAAATAGTACCACAGTGAATATCTGTGTCTGTATTTATTATTATATCTATATCAAAGATATTTTTGTGTCACTGCCAGTAATATCTTTAGGATAGTTCCGGAAATCGGATTTCTGAGTCAAAAAGTAAGGCCATATATAACATTGCGAGATATTTTCAAATTCCCCACTATAATGATTATATTAGTTCCCTATGGTTACTGCAAAATTTACCACATACTTGGTGTCATTAAAGAGAAATATTCTCTCATACTCCTAGAGGCTAAAAGTCCAAAATTAGTTTTATGGGGCCAAAATCAAGGTAGTGGCAGCGCCTCACTCCTGGAGACTGTAGGGAAGCTTCCCTGCTTCTTCCAGCTTTTGATATCTACCAATATTCTCTGGCTGTAGCTGCGTGACCCCAACCTCTGCATCCCTGGTCACACTGCCTTCCCTTCTTCTGTCTGTGTCAACTCTCCCTTTGTCTCTCTCTTATGAAGACACTAGGGCCCATTTTGATAATCCAGGATAACCCCCCATTAGGTTGTTCCCATTCTTTTGCTATTCAGATAGTGCCAGAGTAAATAGTTATATCTATATTTATTATTATATCTAAAAGCATCAACTTCATCACATCTGCAAAGAACCTTTTCCATATAAGCAATATTTATAGGCTCCAGGGATTAGGACCTAGGGGACCACTATTAAGCCTACTCCAGTGATTATACCATCTTGCACCTCTGTGAGCAGGGAGTGAAAGGACATGTTTTTCCACATTCTCACCAACTGAGTATATTGACAAACATTTGGATCTTTGCCAATCTAACAGTTAAGAGACAATATCTTAGTGTAGTTTTAATTGCTCTCTCTTAATTAAAGCAAGCTGGAGACTTTTCATACATTTAAAGACAACTTTTCATATGTTTAAAGACAACTTGTTTTCTGTTAACTGTTAATTTCTTACACGTCTCTGATAGGGCTGTTGTTTTTTCATGCCTCTATATTGATAAGCATTTATATAGGAGGGATATCAATGCTTTGTTAAAGATGTTAGCTGCAAATGTTTCTTCCAGCGTCTTTAACTGGCTAGCATGTTCTTGCCATGCAGAGTTGTCATTGTTTTTTTTTTATGTTGTCAAATACATCAATCTTTTTCCTTAATGTTCCTGGATACTGATTCATATTGAGGAAACTTTCCTCCACCCAGGTTATAGAATAATTCATCTATGTTTTCTTCTAATACTTGTATGGATTTTTTTTTATATTTCATTCAGAATCATTTGGAATTTATCCTGCTACTTCAAGATAGAGAAATGGGACCCTATCTATTTTTTAACCTTATGGTTATCTAGCTATCTCAATACCACTTCCTAATCATCCATTGTATCTGCACAGATTTGAAATGCTGCTTTAGTCATATTCTAGTTTTTTAAATGTAATTGGGCCTATGTCATATTTTCTATTGTTACATTAATCTTTCTGTCAATTCATGGGCCAATAAAATAAAAATTAAAAGGATCTTTTACCTCCACCCACATAGAGCTTTTTCTTCAACACAAGAGGCTACACTTTCTGTCCGAAGGTCCTCAGTACCCCCATACCTTGGAAATGTCCCCTTTCCACGCAGACTTCCAGAAAGTTCTGTCTGGTTGGTTTGGGGCCACAACCCCTCCCTCCCACCTTCCTGCTCCGCGAAGTTCAAGCTGCAGTTCAGATTTTTGTCACAAGATGGCACCAACTCACCACCATCATTAAACTTTACAAAGAAAGGTCAGCTAGGAGCAAAAAAAAAAAACACAATACCGTCATTTAAAATACAGCCTTTGAATCCATGTTCAGAATGATTCTAATTCTGGGGCGCCTGGGTGGCTCAGTCGTTGGGCATCTGCCTTCGGCTCAGGTCATGATTGGGACTGAGCCCCGCATTGGGCTCCCTGCTCCACGGGGAGTCGGCTTCTCCCTCTCTCACTCCCCCTGCTTGTGTTCCCTCTCTCGCTGTGTCTCTCTCTGTCAAATAAATAAAATCTTTAAAAAAAAAAAAAGAATGATTCTAATTGTTTGAGAAAACTGATGGATGTAAAAGATTCTAAAAACATATACTCCAGGGCCTGCAGATGATGAAACACTAGGTGGCAGTAGCGTGCCTTGGTAGTAAGCGGCACGCGAAGAGGCAGCTGGGGCAGGAGGGAGGAACCTGAGAGGATGGGGCCCCTGGGCAGGGTCTGGACAGCTGTGTGCTGTGTCATGGGCAGATGACAGGGGGTGGAAGAAGGCCTGGCAGCCTTATAAGGATGGGATAATGGAGGGTGAATGCCCTGCTCTCTGGGAGAGACCCTCTACAGTGTGGACATGTCAACCCACACTGAGGAGGGAAGAAATACATCAATGAACATGAAGTAGATTTAAGGTCAACTGTGGATGGAATTGTTTTAGTATTCATATGAATTTTCCTTTTTTAATTTTCTTAAAAGATTTTACTTATTTGAGGGAGAGAGAGAGAGCATGAGCAGGGGAAGAGGGAGAAGCAGACTGAGCAAGGAGGACGATGCGGGGCTCAATCCCAGGACCCCGGGATCATGACCTGAGCCAAAGGCAGATACTTAACTGAGCCAAGTGGTGTGTCTTAGTAAATAAACCATCTGATATTTCTTCCCCTTTGATAAATGCACTCCTTTCCTTAAAAAAGAAAAAAGAAAAATGGAGATGGATGCCACCAGGAAGCCAGATCCAGGATGTCAGCTCTGAGAGTCTAAAACCTGGGGACTCAACAAGGGGAAGGAAGGGATGGAAGTTTGGATCTCGATCTAATGGTTTCAGCCAGAGTTTAATGGAACTTTTTAACCCACGCAGCCATCCAGCTGTATCACCATCATTTTCTGGGCTGTCTAGACCTGAGATTAGCTGTCCAGCTTTGGTTTGAACTGAAGATAAAGATGCACTTGTGAATGTGAGTATTTGGGGTGATACAGCTAGAGAGACCTATAAACACACACACGTACAGGGAGAACCTCTTTCAATTCTATTTTTTCCTACTTTATTTTTTTTTTAAGATTTTATTTATTTATTTGAGAGAGACAGAATGAGAGATAGAGAGCACGAGAGGGAAGAGGGTCAGAGGGAGAAGCAGACTCCCTGCTGAGCAGGGAGCCCGATGTGGGACTCGATCCCGGGACTCCAGGATCATGACCTGAGCTGAAGGCAGTCGCTTAACCAACTGAGCCACCCAGGCGCCCCTACTTTATTTTTTTAATTTAATAAAATGAAATGCTTTTCCAAAGTAATGAATACATGTGTACAGTACTTTTCTGAATCTGTTTATAAGTATATTCTGCCCTCAAATTTTCATCAAATTATTTTTCCTGAATACTATATTTCAAACAACATATGAAAGTACATTTATAAACTGAAACTGTCCTGCAGTTCTCACCAGCCGCAGTCCCACCGCCTGGCTCAAAGGGGTCTGTTGTCATAGAATAGTGTTTCCTCTCCAGATGTGTCCCTTAAGGTGAAGGGTACATGAAAATAGATGCTTGCACACACACACACGCACGCACAAACAGGGTCTTTTCCAAAAAAGCAATCACATTTCTCATCTTTTGCATATTATATTTTCCACTCAATATGAATCTAAGCATTTATACTTGCATCTTATTAATGCTTGTGGTTTGGGCATATTTTGACATTTTGACATATTTATTGTTCATTTAGAATTTTACATGAATTTACTGTTTAAATTATAAGCCAATTTTTGTTTGTTACTAAGTGTGTTTCACAAACTATGGACACCAATCCAGTAGATGAGTTGTAGTTTGCAAATGATTTCTCCCGTGTTTATACACAATTCTTAGTATATTTTCCATTTAGAATGTGTTTTAAATTTCAATAATATTGTGAAAAAAACTATGTAGCTCACAATTCTAAAAATTAAGTAACACATAGAGACCATATAAGGCAGCCCCTAGGGTTTAGTCATTCAGAACCCAGGAGGAATCAAGACAAAAGGTGAAAAACTTGAAAATAATACCACAGTTAGCTGTTGATCCTAAGAAAATACGTTGTTTCCCTAATTCATTTGAAGTCCCTTAAAGTCAGTACCCTGATTTGAATAATGCATATTTTGAATAGCTATTAAGATTAAAGGAAATTAAATATAAAATACATTTACTTAAAGTAGCTCTGTACATATTGCTTCCCCTCCCTCTAGATCACCTATCTGATCTGTGCTTCTGCCCCCAGCCTAATTCAGCACTTCGAGGATCAGCCAACACATGTGGCCCGATACCCAGGTCTCTTAGCACAAAGGGTGAGATTTCATCTCCTCTGTTATCTTCATCAACCAGAGGGGTTGCTTAGTGAGTGCCTGCAGGGCCACAATAGTAGAGGAGCTGATCTAATCAGTTCTCTAGCCCTGAAAGGGAGGCTGTTCTGTGTCCTCCAGGGAGGGCAAGGGATGGAACCTCATTCCCATCCTGTTACTGATCTAGAGAGGTGACTTAGGTAGGCTCTGTCAGTCTGAGCTTGGTCACCCGTGAAATGGGACTCACCAGACCTTTGTCACAGAGCTGTCCCAATGAGTAAATAAGAAAACCTGCCTAATTAAGGAGGGCACGTGATCTGATGAGCACTGGGTGTTACGCAACTAATGAATCACTGAACATTACGTCAAAAACTAATGATGTACTACAGGTTGGCTAACTGAACTTAATAAAAAAAAAAAAGAAAAGAAAAAGAAAACCTGCCTAGAGTATATGGCATGTAGTGTGACTTCAATGGCCCTTTAAATGTAATCGACAGTAAGACTGAGGGTCGATGCACACTGGTTAAATGTAGGGCCTCAGCAGCCACACAGAATCTGTTCAAATCTTGGTCTTGTGACCTGCTAGCCCTGCCCTCACTTCGCCTCAGCTCCCTGATGTTTAAAGTCAGGCAACAGTAGCTCCTCCTCATAGGCTGTGGTGATGATTAAGTTTAGGTTTATCACGTACAATAGCATGGGGCACAAAAGGGGTCAGTAGTAATACTGACCTTTCTTATCATTATTATCATGCCAGAATGGATCATTAGAGATTTTAGGGTCACTTTTATTATTATGTGGACTTATACTGATTGGCCTGAATTGACTTTAATAATATGGTGTTTATCATAAAAAAGTAATTCACAAAACTGTAAGTAGATGGTCATGTCATTGCTAATCTTAAAAATGCATGATTATACATGTATGGTAAAGTTTCTAAAAAAAATATACAAATGATCACAGTGCTTATCCATGGGAAATAGACTTTCAAGGGTATTTAATGATTTTTTTTTTCCTTTTGAGCAGTATCCATTTTTAACTACCATAAAAGTGTCTTGGTTTTGAAGGTGAAAAATAATAAGAATGAATAAATTTCCCTAGACCTCCCCATAGGAGAGTGGCTCAGCATCAGAATGGGGAACATCACTAAACCAAGGGAATTATGCACTAGTTGGTCTCAGAACTAATTTTTGAATCTACACGACAATGTCAGGGACGCCCGCAGATGCCTAGGGGAAGGGCAAGCATGCTGCTCAAATAAATCTTACACTGGAGAAGTCCTCCGATGTCTCCATTCCCCAGGACTTAGTAAAGGTCATGAGAGGAAAGTAGTTTCACAGCATGCTTCTTTCTCTTCTCTCTACATAAAGCCCCTTGAACTGAAAGCAGGCTCATGGGTCTAACCTGCCAGTTAGCCAAGCAGGGAACCTACAGTGGAGGGAATTTGGGAGGGAGCAGGAGATTGCTCAGTGCTCTCAGCCCACAGCTTCCAGAAGTGAGATGCTTCAACAGCGGGATTCAGGGGGAAGTTTAGTCACAGGCTCCTTCAGCCCAGGGCAACCAACACACGTGGATTAAAACACCTCTAAGCCTCAATGAGCGTAGGGATGTGGATGTTAGTCTGGACACAAGAAAATGAACTCCCTGCAGTCACTGTCATCTCTCACCAGGATGGCCCAGATCAGGTTCCAGATGTACAGGCCTAGATGAGTAACAGTGTGAATAAAAGCCAGAAAATTAGGCCTGGGAAAAAGGAAGATGTTTCAGGTTCAGGAGACACCTGACAATGTTTTGGGCTAGCTGGAGCCTGGGAACTCTAAGACTAAACAAAGCTGATTTAAAAAAAAATGCCTGAAAATAATATCCTATCTGCCGATTCTGTTAGAGCTCCTATAGCATGTAAAGTGAGAAAATGGGTGTGTCTATTTTAGAAGCTCTGAAAGAGAATACATACCGAATATATACTTGTGACATATATATTTGCTTTCATGCTCCTTCAAATCCCAGTGGGCTCTATGAGTTGTTGATGGTAAAGTCATCTCCTCTGTTGGGGAAAGAACACAGGAGAGATGATATATATATGTGTCAAAGTTTTATGGTATTACGTATCAGATACTTCCTGTTGGTTTCTTCATTTCTCCTCACAGGAGCTGTGAGGTAAGTACCAACTTGCCCATTTTACAGATGACCAACTACAGGATCACATGCATCTACTTAGAAGCATCTTTCTTCATTTTCTACAGCTTATTTTTTCCCAATGAAAAGACATAATTTTTAGAAACAGAAACATAGATGTTTCCTCCACAGCAGATTACAAAATCAGTAACTGTGGTGTGATCCCAATGCTCCTGAAAAACATTTATATAAAAACAATGAAAGGACACATGCATCATTTTATATCCTACTTATGCCTTTATATCTACATCTCATGTTTACTAAATGTGAATCAGATGTCTGCTGTGTGACAGGCACTGTCCATCCAATTCCACATCTGCATCCACATCTTCCCTCTCTTGATATCTAGACTGGAGATCTAGAAATATCCACAGGCCACAAGGTGAATATTAGTGTCAAACCCAGGGATCGTGAGGTATGACCCTAAACAGACTCCATTACAAGCAACTTTAGCCCAACCTTGACCCTGAGTCAAGATGGAAACCCAGCATCTAAGCAGGAAATAAGGTGGTTGAGCAGGGAGATGCTATACCCTGGGAAAAGGCAACTTGTAACACACACCTCCATCATCTTGAATAGCACTAAGAGTCTATGACCTTCTCCTGAGGAGACCTTATTCCCAGAAAGAGAGTGAAGGAAAAGGTAACAATTGTGTGGTTTCAGTTCTGGTTTGGTTCTCTCATGGTTGTAAACTAAAGGTTTTACTTCCTCTTTAGTCTGTGGCCAAGTTATGTGGAAGATTTTGGAAATGATTTTGTGTTTCTCCTTATCACTAGGAGGGTGGTCCTCTCATTTAGACCTGTGAGGGATCCATCTAAGGTGACATGGAATTTCTGCTTCATTAAAGACCTCATCTCCCAGTTGTGTGGGTCTGGACTCACATCCACAGGAGAAAGAAGAGAGACTGAGTTCTCAAGACAAGCCCAAGACCAGGATCCTGACCACCATCTAATTCTCCTGACTTAGTGACATGGTTTTCACAGATTTCTCACAATATGGTCACCTCCCCAACTGTTCCTCCTATGCCTGACATCCCAGTATGATTCACTTCTCTCATCTCTCTCCTGTCCACAGAAGCACACTCACTGAAATTCCTCTATAACCTGGAGGCGGAGGAAACTTTTCCAGCTATGCGTAAAAATCTAGAAGCAATCAGGGAAAGAGTTATGTATTTAATTTCATTTAAAAATTACATGGCAAAGTCCAAAAAAAAGCAAAGCAAAATGAAAAATTACAAATTGGGAAAAATATTTACAACTTACATCACAAATGGTTATATCCATAATATATGGAGTTATGAAAAAAATGAAGACAAAAATACTCCCAAAAAACACCAGGAAAAAAAAAGGGGCGGGCGCCTGGGTGGCTCAGATGGTTAAGCGTCTGCCTTCGGCTCAGGTCATGATCCCAGGGTCCTGGGATCGAGTCCCGCATCAGGCTCCCTGCTCCCTGGGAGCCTGCTTCTCCCTCTGTCTCTCATGAATAAATAAATAAAATCTTTAAAAAAAAAAAAGAAAACGGGGCAATACAAACAAGTTTTTCACCAAAAAAAAAGTGCCTTAAACATGTAAAAATTGCTCAGCCTAACTCATGATAAGACATTCAAAGAAAAAAATAACTACTTCTTCTTACCAGTCAGTCTGTGAAGAAATCAGCATTCCCATGCATCACTGAAGGTAATATGAAATGGTTCAAACCCTGTGGATGGGATTTGATGCTATCTAATAAAATTACATACGTATTTCCTCTTGGAACCAGTAATCTCTCTTTTAAGAATCTATCCTAAAGCAATAATACAAAAAATGAAAAGGTTTAAGTACAAGGTCATTCCTTAAAGAAAAATTCATAACAGCAGAAAACTAGAAACAAGACAGCTGTCCACCAATAGGGGGCTGGATGAATAAGCTATGGTACATCTACATCCTGGTGTACTATGCAGCTTAAAAAGCAATGAGTAATATATGGTGATTAACATAACAATAAAAAATTAAAAAAAAGCAATGAGGACTCCCTCTCTGTACTGCTTTGACTATATTGTTCAGTGAAGAAAGCAAGGTACAGAAAAATGTATAGAGCTGTTTCCGTCCAATATGATCATCATAGACACACAGAACCATTTAAATTTATCTTTTTAAGATTTATTTATTTTAGAGAGCAAGAGCAGGGGGAGGGGCAGGGGGAGAGAGAGGGAAAGCAGACTCCCCACTGGACCCGGGGTTTGGTCCCAGGACCCTGAGATCATGACCTGAGCCAAAACCAAGAGTTGGACATTTAACCAACTGAGCCACCCAGGTGCCCCTAAATTTAAATTAGTTATAATAATTAAATCAAAAATTCAGTTCCTCAGTTGCAGTAGCCACATTTTAGATGCCGAACACCCACATGTAGCTAGTGACTACCAAGTTGGATAGCACAGATACAGAACATTTTCATTTCTGCAGAAATTTTTATTACAGAGCACTGGCATAGAATATGCCACCTTTTACAAATGAACAGGGGAGAAAACTAATATATATATTGTAAATTATTGTATGTTTTAAAATTGGAAGGTTAAAACACAAATGATAAAAATTATTACCTATAAGGTGACAGAGGAACCTATAAGCCCAGGATAGAAGGAGATGATGTATATTCCCATAAAAAATATAATACATATTTACAGGCTCCAGGTAGTAGAAAGGACAATCAACAGTGACCAACACAGTAGCAATGAGCATCTCTAGTTCCCAGACTGAATCCTCTAAAAAAATATTTCCCCCTAAAAGAACCAGGCTTCCTTGAAGAAATAGCTGATTCCAGGGCTGAGTAGGGATTGTACCAGATGACCTGGACCAAACAGCTCATACCAGAAAGGATATCAAAGACACAAAAACCAACCCAAATGGACTCCCACAGGCCTAAGATAGACCAATTGAACATCAAAAACATTAATGGCTGCAATGGATTACAACCTCAAGTATATAAACATCTAGAGCTCATGATGACACTCTTAAAGAAAAACAAAAAACACACAAAACAAACTCACAGTTCATCTTTGGGGGATCCAAGCGAAACAACTCTTTATTCTAAAAAGTGGAAATAGCTCTTTCTGCCCTCTTGGAGCCTGTGGAGGCCTGCTGGGAACAGGACTCCTAAAACACCAAATAATGTCTGGAAGGCTGTGGTCCAAGGCCATTTTTGCTGGCTATAAGCGGGGTCTCTGGAACCAGAGGGAACACACAGCTCTTAAAATCGAAGGTGTTTATGCTCAAGATGAAATGGAATTCTATCTAGGCAAGAGATGTGCTTATGTGTACAAAGCAAAGAACAACATAGTGACTCCTGGTGGCAAACCAAACAAAACCAGAGTAATCTGGGGAAAAGTAACTCATGCTCATGGAAACAGTGGCATGGTTCGTGCCAAATTCCGAAGCAACCTTCCTGCTAAAGCCATTGGCCACAGAATCTGTGTGATGCTGTACTTCTCAAGGATTTAAACTTAATGAAAAGTAAATAAATAAAGGTGTACATTTGTTCTCTTGTAAAAAAAAAAAAAGTGGAAGTACTGAAAAAGAAATAAGCATTCATCCTTCCCTTCTGTATGGACCATACCTCAGTATAACCATGTAGTTGTTGAGAGGAAGTTTGTTTCATAGAAGAATTCTAACTAATAAATGAAGAAATTATAGAATTAAAACATCACTTACAGCTGTTAAAGAAATGTAAATCTAGGCAATTATCTTTAAGAAGCTACAAAAAACCTGAGTTAAAAAGTGGATTGGAAATTTAATAATGGATGGATCAGGCTGACAACACCCAAAGACAGCACATGGAATAAAGAATAAAGTGAGAGAAAGGGAGAGCACAGGAAACACAGGGGCAATGGGTGAGCATGTGCTGGCCTGTCCCCACTCAGGTCACTGGAAGCTGTCCAGTGATGCTGTGCCTCTTCCCCAGCTCCATCCCACAGCACCCTCCCGCACACAGCAGTGACACCGAAGCTCCCACATTATGGAAATGTGGGCTCATCCCTGCTTGCTGCTCCATGTCCAAGTATTGTCTCTGGTACTCATGCTATCATGTTCATGTCAGAAACACTGCCTTGACAGAATGAAGGAAGCAAAATTGGGAAAAGGAACTAACATTTTGAGGGCCTACTAGATGTCCCATGCTATACGTTGTTATTTTCAGACTTTTTTACTTTAAATCCTCAAAGCAATGCTCTGAGGGACATCATTACTTCCTTTCTACAGACTGGGAGATATTCAAGCTCACAGACCAAAGTCCATGCTCAAAGAATTCTAGGGAGGTGACAAATGGACATAGAAGCCAAACTGAAGGGGCAAACACAGGCCAATTCTGTGACAATGTGACCAACAAAATAAATAATTATAATGTTAGGTGGTAACCCTTTCAGCAAAATGGGAATCTATGAGTCATAGTAGTTAAATAAATGGATGAATAAATAAATAAACCATAGGGGAGAGTGGGAAGCTCTACCCAACATTTGAACATCGATTAATAAATCCAGAAGGAATGACAGAATTATAAAAGCAACACTTCATAACGATCATAGAAATGAGTGATTCAAGCAAGAATCATAAATGGATTTTCAGGCTGTACCAAGTCCCACAGTAGACACTGAGTCACCATGGTAACCATGCTGGCCAAGGAAAGCTGGGAAAAAGCATACAGCAACCATCCTGATTTGTCTCCTAACATGTGCTAGGAACTGAGGAGGACTGACATAACTCACAGTAACTCACCACACATATTCCTCACAAGAAATACTCCTTCCAGCTTCAACAATACACACATACACATGTGCACACGTGCACACAGAGTTATACATATGCTCTCCCTCTTTTTCTTACCACACAAGATCCCAGG